GTTTAGAAAGACAGATTTAGTAGTATTGCAGATCCTATGAAAAAACTTTAAAAAAAATTGCCATTTGGCCGTTAAAAATTATCATTTGATATATGCACATGAAATTGTCAGATATTTCATGGTGATTTTAATAATAAGTACAAATTTTGTTCACATTTCTATGAGTGCAGTACCAAGATTTATAATTTTCAACAGCGACTTGGCACTTATGTGCTTCGTCTATTATTATCTTCCATATTTCGCCTGTAAAACAGCTTCGCAAAATTGCTTTGAAAAAAAAATCAAAATCTTGGAAAAAAATTAAACTTTGGTACGGACAGTGTCAGCAATTTGCCTTAAGACACGATGCCATGCACCACTAGTTTAATATAACAATAAAATAAATCTACACACAATATAAAGCCTTAAAAGATTACATCTTTTAATGCAGTGTAATGAATATTTTTATTGCAAGTTAATATTATTAGGCTTATATCACTGAACCGTCGCCTTATAAGACAGTTGCGTAACAAAGCTTAGATCGAATATCCGAGTCAGTCTCAAGTCATGCAAGACGAAGCATCCGCCGCTGGATCCGATTAGCAATCTCTGCGGAAATCCAGCTAACGCAGCCGGAATGTCAAGATCTCATTTACAAATGGACTTACAGATATTAATAATATTCTGATCGTCTAAGCCGAGCATTCCGACGTTTCTATGGACGTGAACCATGTATAGGATTGGAACTAGTATGATTTAATGAAAGACATTTTATTTGAGCAGATAATAATATAAAATTAAATCGTGATGGATACTTTGCAGTATAATAATATATACTAAGTATTTCTTAATTTATATTTACATTTTTGCAAGAAACTAAAATTTTATTTAAAAACTAGCAAACCGGCGAACTCCGTTTCGCCACCAGATGGTTCGTGAGAAAGATGATGAATTTTTTTTTTGTTTATATTTGAAATGAAAATGAGTAGCTGTCAAACAATGTATCTACCGGCACCATTTACTCAAAATATTGGTTTGTAGTACATGCTAAGTATCAGAGATGACGCTGTATGTGAAAAAGATTTTTCCGCTTTTCTGTTGAAATTTTTCTTCAATTTTCTTTGCTATAAACCTCACGGAAGCCCGAGACCATTCCAACGAATGCAAAATCATCGAAATCGGTTCCTGCGTTCTGGAGTTATAACTTCAGGAAGGAAAACCCGACTTATTTTTATATAATAGATTATTGTTCAAATTATAGAATCGATTGAAAAAATGCGAAATAAAGGAATAGAGTTAGGAGTAGATACAGTAATCATTTAATCTAATCTATTAACGAGCCAAAAACATTAAATAAAACACTCAAAATATTGTTCATAACATATTAAAGCAAGATCAATGTTAATGTATTAGTTTTACGATTTGTTGGATTTATGTCCTGTTCACAATGTGATATTGTTTTATGTTTGTTTAGTTTCTGTCTCAATATTTGTTCGGACGTGTTTTCGTTTTATAATATTGGTTGTCACCTTCATGGCATTGAGCTTTACACGGAATGGTTCATACCCCTGGTAGAAGGGGTAGCGGAGTGTTTTGATAGTACTAATTGTTTACTTCAAAAAGTAAAGTCCGCTTAACAACATGTATTATAAATATATAAATATATTTTATTTCATTATAACTTAGTGACAAATCAGTCATTCTAATAAGAACTGCAACAAATACATAATATACAAACAGATCAGTGTTTAATACAGTCCACAGCTACAAGGGTTAAATTATAACCCAACAACCTGAATTATCGAAGGAGAGTTTTAAAAAATTACATGACTCGTAACATAATTACAATATCATTTATGGTTTTGTAATTTAAATAACCGTTTAGCAATATTAATGCTTGTGGATTGATTTTAATTTGTAACTTTTAGTAGATTAGTTAGTAGATTTTTTTAATATCACGACCATTTGCTGACGACCAAGTTTTCAGAATTAATTAAAGTTATCTCAAAATAATATAGCATTTCCTTCATTTAATTATATATATATATATATATATATATATATATATATTTAAAAGTTAATTATGAAATTGCAAATTACCTTTATAACAACCAAAAATATCTCGACACGCTTTTTTCATATTAATTTAATTCAAAATATCATTTTCATAACTGCATTAATTTCCGCAGAAAATCATAAGGCGCATAATTAGACCAGCACGAAACAGCGATTTTGTAATTATCTTCTCTCATATACAAAATCTACATTTGCGTGTTTTTCTCCAATGAACGAATGGTCTGATATACATTTGCCACTAGGATGTGGTTTGGAACAAATCAATCGTTTAATGAATGAATAAATTCGCAGTAAATTATTCGGGTTGGCCGGCATTCCCCTCTCAGATACAATGCTACGTGTATCATTAATTAAAAGCCTGTATCGAACCGCAGACAAGAAGACGCTACCAGCGTAGCCATCACAGGGATAATACAGTGGTTCCCATACTGACGGATAGATAATGTTCCCACACTACTCTCCATGATCATTTTTAAATTGCTACTCATAAATTAGAGCATCAAAACTCAAAATACTATGTGCTATAATATAACATAAAAGTTATACAAATATATGTATATAATGAACCACCACCTGATTAACCAATTGATTAAATTAGTAACATATGTATATTTACCATATTGTGCTAAAATACATGTATATAGTATATTACATATATATTATGGTGATCCTTAATATGGACATTTTCGAATTTTATTGCTCCCAGAGGCTTATATGCTTCTAAATTGATAAAAAAAATTCTCTAAAATTTTTGCTCTTAATATTAACATTTAGATAGTGTGCAATTCAATCAAAAGAAATAGCTTTGTGAGGAAATAGCCTAGAAACAATTTTGAAAATTTTAAAAATGTTTTTTAGGTATAACTTAGCGACAAATGAATTGAAAGTGACAGTTCATGTCATCTTTTATTGAAAATTCGACGCTCCGCAAAACAGGATTTCCATAATTTGTTTTGTAGAACGTCGAATTTTGAATAAAACTCATTCATTTGTTTGCTGCTTTATATCTAAAAAACATTTTTAAAATTTTTGAAATTTTTTTCATGCTATTTCCATACAAAACTTTGATTGAATTGCGCACTATCTAAAAGACAATAAGATACTAAGAGCTAAAACTTATAAAGGATTTTTTTTATCAATTTGGAGACCACCCTAATATAGATATATCCACCTCCATTATCTCAAAAACAAGTGAAGAATAGAATTTTTTCGATGGTTACTAACCAACCACCATCTTAATTCTTACGACTATATATCCTTATTCATAACCATAAAAGCATGCTTTCGTTGGTAGTTTCATTGCATTTGAGCTCTTTTAACTAGTGTTTCATACCTGATTATGATTTCAAGTATACGTTGTTTAATTGTTATATAAGATAAATTATTATTTCTTAGTTAGATTTAACAGTTTTTGGAATATTTGAAATATACAGTTTTGGGTGGGGTAATAAGAACCAACTAAACCTTTACACTAGCAAAAGTGTAAACAATAAAAAATAGTGAATAAAATAGGAAATTTGCATTTTGATGTAATTGAAATTCTTTTAAAATTGAAATTAAAACACTGGATCAGTTTGCTCCCTAGCTGTCCGTTTTAATCCTGCATATAGAGTAGAAAAAAAATCAAATTGAAAAGTATTTCTTGGAATAAATTAGATCTATAGATGTTTGTGTGATACGATTATATATTGTAT